GACCCACCTGGTGCTGGCAGTCAGTGGCTTTGTCAGTACTGCTGGTCATATTGTCAGATTACTGGACTGACTCCAGACCAGAGTCTGGCTGCATCTGAGGATTTCTCTATGTTCAGAACAGATCTTACTGAAAAGTTCCATTTATTTGGCTCAAAAATGTAAAGTAGCACAAAAACGAAATACATCAGTACACTGTTCCTACCCACCGCTGTTAGCAGAAACGATAAAACGTGTGAGCAAAACTCCAACACTGCTCAGTTTCGACTGAGAATCTCCCATAACTTTACCCTTTCTGACACACACATTGGTCTTTTTATATTTGTGAGGACACTAGTTGACATGATGCAGTCCCTAAAATGCCCTCACTGTGATGGCTTTAATAAAATCTGTCCACACAACTACAGAAAGACACAAATATTAATAGTGAAAAATCTTTATTTACAAATAAACTGAAAAATCCTTCCAACAATATTCGTCATTTGTCATTCAGCTGATCAGTCGATGTGGAAACAGAGTGCGGTGATGAACAGCTATCTGATATTGTGCTCGTGGTTCCAACAGCACAGTCGGTGAACGCAGCACAGACACAAGTCAACTGTTACTATGGCAACAGATGAGTCGGCGGAGAGTGGGCGTGTCCCAGCAGGGTTTAACAAACTGTCAATTGCACTAAAAGTTCTTTGAGTTCTAAGTCTTAAAGGGTAAATTCAGTTTTTCCAACCCAGACATCATGAAACATTTTCTTAAAAGGGCCATTCCATTTATTTTCCACATGGACATCAGTTTACAGGTCCTCCAAATTTCCAGAGTAACATCCAGTCTGAGTGGGGTTGTGTCTGCAGGGGAGGTTGGCTGATTAAAACCCAGCACTGATCACAGCCACAGTGAAGTCCGGGTTTTCTGTGAACAAGCTGCTCTCATTTAAATGCCCATCTAGAGCCACGTGCACCTGCATTACAGAGAAGAAACCTTGTTTTGCCAGGGTGAAGATATCCCCCAGACCCAGGGGTTAAATTACCACGTTTTATGATCATGTTCACTAAGAAAAACTAAATTACACCATTCTTTTTTTTTAATAAAAGGTTTTTCAATGGAGGGAATTGACAATGGCCCCTTAAATACTGGCAGGTTTTTAATGTGACAGGAGAAGGAAGTGCTGATTTTGCATTGACAACACAAGGCAGCAACAGTAAATGCACAATTAGAAACAACAGCTAACTAAAATAGAATCACTATAAAACAGGAAACTAAAAATAAAAGCCTCTAACTCTGTGCAGGTGAACTAAATATACGCTCAGCCCTCTACCTGAAACTTCCTATGGTTAATAAAATGTGATACCCACTCTGCATTTATTCAAAGAGCTGTTTCTCTAAACTCTAATATATTCTGTTGTCATGAACATAAATGATGGTTAAACACATTTAATAAGGTCGGGGTTGGAAAACGGTGAACTGGTCCTTTAAATGCTCTTATCATGGAGACTCGCCACTGTAAAAAAAAAAAAAACCTTTTTGAAATTTTTAAGTTTTCATATTTTTTCCACTTTCCAGCTGAATTTTGGTTCCAGTAGAACCCCACTTTAAAACTGAGGGATTTTAATTTGTATTTTTACATTCACTTTTTTTTTTTTTTTCTTTTACAGTTTGAACAGACTGAAGTGTTTTTTGGTCTGAAGCTGGGACACACTGGGACCTGGTCTGACTGCGTTCACATCAGATGAATAAGACGACGTCAAACTGAATCTGATTCACCGATTGGCTGGAGCAGTGCGTGAGGATTTACAGTAATAATCTGTTTTCTGTGTGACTGAGACACAGAGTTAAACCAGGACAGTTCAGGTTCTGGATCTGGACCTGTGGGTCTTCTTCAGCCTAACAGTCACTCTTCCACAGTTTGATGGTTTTGTCATTTTCCAGAGCAGCTGAAGCAATGATGTTCTCTGTGGGATGACAGGCAGTCGAGATCACCACGTCTACAGAGAGAGACAGAGGTCAGGATGACTGCAGGAGGACTAGGACTGAAAGCCAGACCATGCCAAATCTAAAGACGACTCAGTCCAAGTGTCTGATGACATCTTCTCCTCTATGAGTTTAGAGAGGTTTGTATCAATTTTGCCTTCTAGTCTCTGGGTTTGCCCCCTAGTCTTTAAACATGTCTCCAAATCTGTGAGTTTATCTCAGAGTCTGATTTTGTCTCTTAGACTAAAATAAGACTAGGGGACAAAATCAAAGACTAAAACACAAGGACAAAACTGGGAGTCTTGCTCAGAGGTTAAAGGTCATACCTGTGTGTCCTTGTAGTTTCTGAACGATCTCTTTGGTCTGAAGGTTCCAGATGTAAACCATGCTGTCCTCAGAGCCTGACACAATCCACTGAAACCCATAAACACAAGGGTCAAAGGTTAAACCACCAAAACTGTACCTCGGAGCCTGGCGTGATCCACTGAAAGCCACAGGTTAAAGTTAACCCAGCCAAGTGCATAATCCTCATTAGGTTTGGGGGGGCGGGGGTTGATGTCTTGTCTGTGAATCTCTGTGAACTGTCCTCTGACTGTCTAGCTGCCAGAGACCTGTTATTACAAGCATCACAGAGATATTGTGGACTCCTTTGCCCTGGGTTTTGCCTCTCAGGTACTCTTACCTTCCCTCCTGTGACAGAGAAGTTGGCAAAGATGCAGTACTTCTCATTCTTGTGGCCAGTGTACGTCTTCAAACACTGGGAACAAGAGAAGAAGATTATACTACTGAAAACAGACAGACACACTGACTGATGAGCATGGAGACAGACTGATAGTACCTTTCCTTTGCTGTAGTCCCAGAGCTTCAGTGTGCTGTAAACCAGAGAACACAGAGTTAATATGACATGCACTGAAACAAAGGCACGGAGTTAACTGTTAGTTTCCTCTAAAGAAAGAAAGGGTAATATTAAAATGACACCAGTAAAATTTTAGTAAGATGAGTGAAACCAAGAGTTAAAGGTTAAAATTGTTCTTAGCACAAAGTTAGCTAGTGTTATTTATTTCTTCTAAGTTTTACTAAAGTAACATAAAACTAGCTAAGAGTTAGTAAGATTTAAATGATGCTAATTTAGAGGTGATAAGGTTAAAATGATGTTAGTTAAGAGTCAGTCCAGCTAACATGCTGCTAGGTAAGTGTTGGTAACATTAAACCTGTTCCCAGCTCAAAGTTAGCTAGTGCCCTTTAATTCTTCTAGGTTTTCATAAATAACAAAGCTAGCTAAGACTTAGTAAGATTTAAACGATCTATGCTGTGAGTTAATATGGTTAGATGCCCTGGTTTAGTGTAAGTTAGATAAACAAAGCTTGTTAAATCGTCAGGTCAACCCAGACAAACTCTGGTCTCCTCAGAGCAGGAGTGGCAGAGACCAACAGACTATTAAATGACTTCATTAATGAACCATAAACTGCTTTTGTTACTACATATCATGTACACATTATAATCTCTAATGCCGCTAACAGCAACAATCATCCCGCTGTTCAGGTTGTGATACTGACTTGTCCAGAGTAGCAGCCAGGATGTATTTTCCATTGGGAGAAAACTTGACAAAAGACACCGGAGGATTGTCGTCATCTGAGGAGGGAGACTCAGATTACATCTACAGATCACAGGTCTGTCGACAACACAAGACGTTATAATTCGATTCATTAAATGGCAAGGACCTTAAATCTACTGTCATCTACCGTGTTGTTCTGAGAGAAATTAAAGGGATATTCTGTGATATTTGGTATTCTGCTCACCAATCAGAGTCTTCAGACACTGTCCCGACGCTGTGTCCCAGATACGACTGCAGACAGGCGAACAAGGAAAAGCAGAATATAATTACCAGCACTATCGGGTACAGTAACAGTTTTTTCCACTGTGTATCTTCTTCTTCTTCTTCTTTCGGCTGTTCCCGTTAGGGGTCGCCACAGTGAATCATCTGTTTCCACCTAACTCTATCCTCAGCATCCTCTACTCTCGCCCCAATTAGCTTCATGTCCTCTTTTAGCACATCCATATATCTCCTCTTTGGCCTTCCTCTTGACCTCTTGCTTGGCAGCTCCATCTCCAACATCCTTCTACCAATATAACCACTATCCCTCCTCTGCACATGTCCAAACTGTCTCAATCTGGCCTCTCTGACCTTGTCCCCAAAACAGCCAACCTGAGCTGTCCCTCTGATGTGCTCATTCCTAATCCTGTCCATCCTGGTCACTCCTAAAGAGAACCTCAACATCCTCATCTCTGCTACCTCCATCTCTGCCTCTTGTCTTTTCCTCACTGCTACAGTCTCTAACCCATACAGCATAGCTGGTCTCACTACTGTCTTGTACACCTTTCCTTTGATTCTTGCTGACACTCTTCTGTCACACAACACTCCTGACACCTTTCTCCACCCACTCCAACCCGCCTGCACTCGCCTCTTCCCCTCTTTCCTACACTCCCCATCACACGGGACTTTCCACCCCAAATACTTAAACTCCTGCACCTTCTTGACCTCAGCCCCCTGTAGCCTCACTGTTCCACTTCCCTCCCTCTCGTTCATA